CAGCGCTAGCCAAGCAACACTTGGATATGCAGCCCGCCTAATGAAGGCGAGACCCCCCTCCCAGCTCCCACCCAACCACCACCACCACCATCATCATCACCATATCCAGGGTGGCTGGAGGTCATGGACACCAGGGTGAGCAGGGTTGGGGCTCCATTCTAAAAAGGCCAAAGCTGCAAAGAGATCTAGGTCGGAAAGCTGTTTGAGCATTTGAAGTTCAGTTTAAGGTCCATGTACTTGGACACTGCGCACGAGTAGAACAAATACTTTTTTTCCACTACGAGCACCAAATTTGGCCGACTAGTACGAACTTGGGAGTTTGTACTGCACTCGTTACTCTATGAAGACTAGTAGTACGCAAAAAAAGGGGGTCTAAATAGGCCCAACTTTTGTGAATATCCTTTTTTACCCAAAACGTTGGGTGAAATCCCTCATATTGGGTTATATTTATAAAAGAAGACACATTGGGTTACTTTTAATTCAGCAGTTTTAAAGGTGTCATATTTTTTAGGTCCAACTTGAGTGCCAGCTTGTGGAGCGTGGCTTTGGCCTGGCGTGGACACTTCAGAGTGCCTCGTTGTCAACTTTAAGTGCCTGCACGTCACAGGAAGGGATGGCCTAAGAGCAAGTGAAATTATTATTTTTGTGATGTGACAGCCAGCGTGTAGCAGGTTGCTGACATGTTGGGCTGTAATGTTGACTTTCATTGATTTTCATCCTTGTCTCTTTGCCCCTGAAAAGCACTCGGACTTTGCCTTGTGTATGAATGGCGCCATCCAAATAAATTCGTCCTGCTTCGTCTAAATGTGCAGGCCGCTGACGGATACACCGTCACATTGCCCCGCCGGCTTGCTTAATCAATCTGACTTCCTCGCCGCGCGGCCGCGGGGGCGCTCGTTGCCCTGCTTCCTTGCCTGCTCGCACGGCCCCAGCATCACGGAGGCTGCTTGTGAGTAAGGCGGGGGGGGGTGGGGGCTGACGGTGGTGAAGATGGAGGGAGTGAGTGAGAAGAAAGAAAACAAAAGTCATGGGAGGCCGGGATGAGACGACGAAAGAGGGAGGAAGTGGCGACAAGTAGGGAAGGCTTCAAAGGAGCGGCGACGAAGGCAAACGTGACGAGGAGGGAAGAGACAAGGCGGAGGTATTTTGGGGAGGTGTGTGTGTGTGTGCGTGTGCGGAGAACACATCCTCCCAGGGGCTATGTGTATTTGCAGCGCTTTAATGTCTTTAATTAAAGCCAACAGTGTTCCTCTCTCGCCGCAGCGCTAGCCAAGCAACACTTGGATATGCAGCCCGCCTAATGAAGGCGAGACCCCCCTCCCAGCTCCCACCCAACCACCACCACCACCATCATCATCACCATATCCAGGGTGGCTGGAGGTCATGGACACCAGGGTGAGCAGGGTTGGGGCTCCATTCTAAAAAGGCCAAAGCTGCAAAGAGATCTAGGTCGGAAAGCTGTTTGAGCATTTGAAGTTCAGTTTAAGGTCCATGTACTTGGACACTGCGCACGAGTAGAACAAATACTTTTTTTCCACTACGAGCACCAAATTTGGCCGACTAGTACGAACTTGGGAGTTTGTACTGCACTCGTTACTCTATGAAGACTAGTAGTACGCAAAAAAAGGGGGTCTAAATAGGCCCAACTTTTGTGAATATCCTTTTTTACCCAAAACGTTGGGTGAAATCCCTCATATTGGGTTATATTTATAAAAGAAGACACATTGGGTTACTTTTAATTCAGCAGTTTTAAAGGTGTCATATTTTTTAGGTCCAACTTGAGTGCCAGCTTGTGGAGCGTGGCTTTGGCCTGGCGTGGACACTTCAGAGTGCCTCGTTGTCAACTTTAAGTGCCTGCACGTCACAGGAAGGGATGGCCTAAGAGCAAGTGAAATTATTATTTTTGTGATGTGACAGCCAGCGTGTAGCAGGTTGCTGACATGTTGGGCTGTAATGTTGACTTTCATTGATTTTCATCCTTGTCTCTTTGCCCCTGAAAAGCACTCGGACTTTGCCTTGTGTATGAATGGCGCCATCCAAATAAATTCGTCCTGCTTCGTCTAAATGTGCAGGCCGCTGACGGATACACCGTCACATTGCCCCGCCGGCTTGCTTAATCAATCTGACTTCCTCGCCGCGCGGCCGCGGGGGCGCTCGTTGCCCTGCTTCCTTGCCTGCTCGCACGGCCCCAGCATCACGGAGGCTGCAGCCATGGCAACCGAAGCCGGATGCCGTGTGCAGGGAAGCCTTCGTCACGCTTGGGTTTTTTTTTTTTTTTTTCTCCTCTTAGCTTTTACACACAGACGTGGGCCAAGTCTAAAGTTCGGGGTTCGAATCCGGGCTCGAACCCGAATCTCCGACCTGTGGTGCAGAGTTGCTACTGTGCCTGCCTTGCGTAAACAGGCCTGATCAATAACAGACATTTGCAAGTAAAAGAGAGTTAAAAAAAAAAAACAGCATGCTTGCCAAGACTATTGGCTATCTGTTGACCTGCCCCCTCATCCCTCATTGCGAAGCCTGCAACCCATCACTTGGTTGCTATGGTGACCAGCCCACAAAATAACTGACGGGCACCTTTTGATCCTTTCCCCCACCCCCCACAGAAACCGAAAGATGATAGCCGCCGCCTCCGTCGATCACAGCTCCTGCTTTCAATCTACAGCCACACAAACATGCCATGTGTGCGTGCGTGTGCGTGTGTGTATTACTTAGCGTAGCCTTGACTGCGCCGCTGCAGGTTAGCTTCAGAGGTACACTGAAGTAAATACATCTGCGGTCTGGGCCGGCCATCTGTCACCAGGCTATGAGTTGATTCATACCAGGACGTGCACTGACAGCTGGGGCGGATGGCAGGGGGGGCGCAGGAGGCAGTGATGGAGGTATGGATGGTGGAAGGGGAGAGGTGAAGGCCGCGGGCAATTAAGGCGTCCAGGCCAAAAAGTGCAGCCTGCTATACTTGGAAAGCGAAAGACAGAAGAAAATCATTGGTAATAACGATAAAAATAGAAAGCACAATCTCTGTCGAAATGCAGAAAAGCTGACGAATGATTGCAATGATTTGGGTTTGGTTGCGATGGAAGAAACGTGAGGGGGAATATAAATAATTGCGACCAGTTTGTAAAACGTCAACGTTTGTCTTAGTGACTTTCGTTCTGTGGTAATCATCATTCATTTGTCATAATTTAACAGACAGGTGTAGTCAAATATCGTTTTTTTTTTCCTGGCATGATACCAGCATTAATTACAGACAGTACGGCCATCCAATGTCCAAATATTCACATTTCTTCATCTCTTCATGTACATTAACACTGTACCGTGGTAATTATTGTATCTCAAGTACTTCTGATGTTGTTTTATCATCGGTATCGTGATACTGATGGTGTCATGATACGATTGTGCAATTGATAGCCGAAGGTTTTATTGTGATATAGCTGGAATGATGAGATCAACTTTATTAGTTCCACAATGTGGATATTTGCATCCATAATTATGATAATATTGTAACTTGACTCTTAGCATATACGTCAGTATCATGATACTGCTGGTATCATGTTACTGGAATTATTGCCCTAATAATGCTGTTAGATTGTGATGTTGCTCATATCATAATACCTGAGTTGGTATGATTACCGGTATCATGATACTTCTGGTATTGTGATACTACTCGAATCGTACTGTGATAGTATTGGTATTCTGACACCGTATATCACAAAATTGTCATATCCAACCCTACTTTGTTGTTCTGTTGCAAGTTTGAGCAAACTTTCAAATGTAACAGAAAATTGACTGACAGTTTATTTTGAGTTTGAGGCTGCAATCATGTTGACCTGCCTGCATGTGGTGCACTGTGGCTACAACACGCACACACCGAATGTGGAACCTTCTGTGAAGGCTTCCCTGCCTTGCTGAGATTGATCTGTTTGAGTCAGGAGCCAAAATAGAGGGTGGGCCAGTTTACAGATGGCTAACGAGGTGGGCAGGCTCGCGGGGTCTCCGGGGGGGTCCACCAGAATGATATCAATAAAATCTTTATCATCTCTATTTTCATTTTTGGGCTGTAAAACTTTGCAACTGTCACGTCTGTCATGTCTGAAGTGGCAGGAGGCTGTGGTTGCATTATTGTGTTGTTGTCATGCTCCATGTTAGCGTGTTTGCGTGTCTTGGACTTAAAAGCCGTCTCCTGTAAGTGCCGTCTCTTGCTGGCTGAAGCCAAACGTTGCTGTAACTTAGCTGCCTGCCTTTGAAGCTTTGTTACCATCAAAGCTGAGCTGTGCGGCGGTGGAGAAGAGGAAAGAGGAAGAAAGTTAGAGGGAGCGTAAGATGAGGGAGATGAAGAGGTGGAGGTGGAAGAGAGGGAGGGAGAAAAGAAAAGGAGCAAATGAAGGAAGAGGTGGGGGAAGAATAGGAGCGAGAGAAGGAGACAGAAGAAGAGAAGGAAGACAAGAAAGAGGTGGGGAAGAGAAGAGTAGGAAAAGAAGGTAGAAAAGGATGAAAAATATGACTGGGAGGAGGAGGTGGAGGAAGAAGATGAAGTGGAGGAGATGGCGAAGTCCAGAAAGAGGAGGAGAAAGAATACGCAACTATATCTCCACAGACTGACAAGACATAACAAAAAATGCACAAGACAAGTGGCTGGAGAAACCTGATTGGTTATCGCAAGGAAACAGGGCTGATGAGAACAGGTGCAGACAAGACACAGCAAGCACCACATGAAGACATGAACAAGAGACGCATGCAGGAAGACACAAAGTGGAACCAAACTAAGCGCAATCAAACACAAAAAAAAAACATGACACAACTATTTTTTTTTTTTTTTGCCAAATGGAGGGACTAAAGAAACATTCATTTATGCTTTATGCATTTCCCCCCTCAAAACAGGAACATTTTCAACCACGTTTTATTGCACATTTTCTCCCTGCAGCTCAGAGTGCTGGTGGACTGCTGTCATCAATCATCATTTTGATGGCCCGTGTGCCCCCCCCCCCCCACCGCCCCTCAAATTGAAGGCCCGAGCACCGCTCCCCGGTGCACATTGACTTCAATAAGCCTATTTTTCTTTTGATTGGCAGAACACTATTATTCCATAAATCTAAAGCTAAATGGGAATATCAGGTTCTGTCAAACCAGGTATGAAGGATTCAATACTTTAGTTGTGTTTGTGTGTGTGTGTGTGTGTGTGTGTGTGTGTGTGTGTGTGTGAGATAGAGAGAGGGCGGGGGGTACTGTCAAACTAAGCATAATATAAAAACGATTACACAATGCCTGCTAAAAACAACCACTGAGCTTTGCCTTCATGCCTGCTAGCTTAATGCGAACACATCACGGGAAACGTCGCATGCAGCGATTAGCATCTTTGTAGCGGCATTAAAGTTTTAAGCAAGCGATATTTTGAGCACAAACTGCCAACAACACGACAGACGGTCATTAATTCTTTATCCTCTCCGAGGGGCGACCAATTTTCTTGCCGAGTTGTGACGTTTCCTTGTCGAACCGTACAGTATGTTTGGATTATACTGCCCCCAGGTGGTCAAGGCGTGCCCACACGATTGAGATTCACAACTTGTATTGAATTGAATGAGCAAATGTGACAAGCTTATTTTTTATTGTACTTCTGTCATTATTTTAATATTAGTGAGGGCCCTTTTTTCTCTCTCGGAAAGATGAACATGACAAAATGTTCTGGTTTTTGGGGGAGGCTGGAACATATTCAATGCATGTCGGCTGTTGTCCTCTTGGTGTCGCTGTTCTGACATCACAGTTCCATTTCGCGCTGGCGGGGCTTCACACGCTCGCTCACAAACACCTTCACGCATTCATTCACTCACTCACACACAAACACACACACACTTTTTTCCCCGCTCGTTCGCTCGCTCGCTCCTCACACCGTCACTCGGGCATCCTGCGGGGGGCTGAGAGTGCGCAGTGCGGCCGGCCCACCCGGGGAGTGGTTCCTCTCCTCGCCGTCAGTCACGCAGCCGGAGGAGGCGCGCACGCAACGCAGACGCGAGCCGCGCACGTCGCCAACCTGGCCGCGAGTCCCCAATCAAGCACACAAGCGCACACACAAACGAGCGTGCGCGCGCACGCACGCACGCAGAAGTTCGTGGACTAATCTGGCTCTTGTGGATTTTCCCCTGACGTCCACCTGCTCCGGCGTGTGCAACAATGGCCAGAGACGGCGCTCGGTCCTCCTCGCGGTCCGCAAGCCGACTGCTGCCGCCGCTGCTGCTGGCGTCGACTTGGCTCCTCCTCGCCGGCCCGGGTAAGCTCACCGCGGCGGGGCACGCTCGGAAAAGTTTACGGTGGCTGTCACCGATGAGGTCCCACGTGTGGACTTGAGTGTGGTTCGCTTCTGTTTGCTGCTGCTTAAATCGTCGGCTTCGGGCTGCAGGTGACCGTTGAGAGAGCTTTAATCCGCCTTGAGCCGCCGCGCTCGGTTCGCGTTCACCTGCTGGAATGTGCTGTTGAACACCCGCGGAGCCGCCGCCGTTGCCGTGAATGGCAGGAGAGCGCACCTGCTTGTCACGGGAGAGGACACTTATCGCTTTATTATTAGCTGGACAATGTCACCCCGCGCGTGTTGAGTGCGATCAAAACATCTATCAGCATTTGATTTACGGCACCGTCCCCCACCACTCCCCAAGGCATTTGCCGTGCACGTTTTTGCACGTGGCCCATCTCGGCGCGCACGAGCCCACACGCTCTATAAATAACTGTGATTAATTAAGACGCCTGCCTTCACACGGCAACTTTGTAAGAGATTGCAAGTTATTGATCGGGACTGTATTTCGCCCCTAGATGCAAATTGATCAGGATTGATGGTAAAGCTTGAAAGTGGTTCGGTCGTTAAAAACACAAGGGGGGCCACGCCCATCTCGGCTCCGAGCACGGGTGCAAAAGATGCTGTTTAGGGTTGAAACCTGTGGGTAGTTGCTCAATTTTGCGTCAACGCATACCAGTGGACGCGTGTTTTCAATTGGAACACTCGTTTGATGTTGACGGCATCAAAGGGTAAACTTTGATGTCTTGTTGTTGGATTGACATCAGATGCCCGCTGGGATGATTGATTAGGCGGGAGGTTAACTCTTGAAAGTGGTTTAGTAATGAAAAAAATAAAAAATTTAAAAAACAGAGCATGAAAGAGTTCGGCCATTTCTGCTCTTGTGTGTGCTGATCATGCTGTCTGTGTTTGCCCGCAAATTTGATTTCATATTGAAACCAACAAGAAGGATGACAACCACCTTCTCTTTCAGAATGTGCGCAAGCGTTTGTGTTTGACATGTGACTGCTTGATTTTCATAATTGATCAGACGATGGTATATGTACTGGTTGTGGCTTCTTATTGAAAAACCAAAATCAATTGACTCCGCCCCTCTTCTCTGTTAGCTTGTGTGTAAAGCAGCCGTTTGTGTTTTTGCTCGATTTTTGCCTCCAGATACAATTGCTCGTCCTTCAGGTTAACTATGGAAAGTGGCACTTTAATGAAAAACATAAATATCTCCTCCCTGAGCGGCTTTATCGGCAAACTAGGCAGGATACGCAAAAGAGTCTCAACGGCCTGAAATCTGACACAAAATCGTCCATTTTGGTCTTGAAGTAGCCATTTTGGGTGAATTGAACAGAAACTGCTTGCGGCTTTTAATGATTATTGCTTTGGTGTGCTGTACTGTTGACAAGACCGCATTCATGTGTTCCTCATTTTGTTATGCCTTGCTTGGATATTTGAATGTGAAACAGTGCAGCGCCAAGCCTCAGGCAATGCCGCTGTCCTGCTTTGTTAGTTCAAAGCCATGCGCGGTGAATTATTTTTGAGGGGGGGCGGATGTCGCCTCGACGTAAAACATCACGAGTTGATTTATCAGCCGTCGAGGACTTTCCTCAGACTGCTGGTTTCTCATATTATGACTGCGGGCATGCTGGCGCTCCAACTGGTTTTGCGTGATTCTGCCGGTCAATTGGCAATGTTTGTCAACAGCGGGTGGCTGAGTAGGCTACAACACACGAATCTTCCCGCCGTTAAAAAAAAAAAAAAAAAAAAATAGCCCAACATGTTTTTTTTTTCACCCAAAGAATTCACTCAGCACCAAGCTAGGTTGAATGAAATTATGCTAAAATGCTAGCCTGTTAGCTTTACCATGATCAAGGTCGTTTTATTTGTTGCTATTGTGAAAGGCTAAAGTCAAGTGAAAATAAATATCTTAATGAATACTTTAAATCCCCAAATGTAGAATAATGTTACAAAGTTATTGAAAATCAAGCCTATCCGCTTAAAAACGGATGCTATTTCGTTTAGCATCTTTTTCATGTCCACATGTAAGTCCTGATTAGAGGCGCAAATGTACAGTATACCCACAAAAAGCCTCCGCTAGCTGAAATATATCCCACCTGGTCAGACAACGAAGCACTCTAAAGCGGCCAAGCTAGTTGAAACCCCTTGTTTTCATGATATTCCAACATGCATCATGTAATTAGAAACTTTTAAAGGGTTTGTTTAGTAATGGAGCCATCTGAGAACGCTTTGGCTTTTTGACCCCGAGCCGAACGTGTGCTGTCACTCTAAATTGGCATATCCCGACTCTCTTCACCTGAAGGCAGCTTTTGGCAAGCCCATTAGCGCGACGCCGTGCCTCTCGAGGCTTCCCCCCCGCAACAACCCGTCCAGGTGAGAAGCATTTTAATGAACGATTTAATGCCGGCGAAAAACCCAGCTAAAGTATCGTCTGCTTCCCGTGGCGTGTTTTCTGTCCGTGAGCTCTGGTTTCGGAATTGAGACGGAGGTAACGCCGTGGCGGATGGGGTGTGGGGGTGGGTGGGGCAACAAGTTCTTTAGCAGCTATGCTAATTAAGTGACGCCACAACACCTCTATAGATGCGACCCCGTTCTGAAATGTCAACAATGTGTTTGCCATTGATGAGCTTATCAGTCGGAGAGCAGGCGCCGATGATTATCGCTTCTTGAGCGGCGCGGCCTGATTGTGCACAGTTTTTATTAATGACTCATCCGGTGGCGCTTAGTTGTGGCGAGGATGGTGACGGTGAGCTTTCGTCACCTTCCGAGATCGCTATCGCTGGGGGTGTGGGGCGAGGGGTGGGGGCAATAATAATAAAAAAATATATAATTTTTTTCATGAAAGGTCAAGATGAAGTTTGAGTGTAATAATTGTAATGATTTGAGTCCGTGCTGTTCATCGGTTATCAGTGTGTTCGGCTGCCCTTTTACATTTTCTCTTTGGCTTGTAAATTTACACAAATATTGGGCCTGCGGGGAGCTGAATTTTCAAAACAATGACACAAAGAGCTACCTGGGCTAATGCTCCGCCCACACGCAATGACAATATAATTGAAACACCCTTCCTGTGTGTTTTAGAGCATGTCTTCTTGAGACTTTTGTGCGGGTTGTCTTATGATAGACATGTCCGCTAAATTTCAAGTTGCGAAGCAGAACCGTCTCCTGGGGCTGAATTTTATTTGTTGATAACTCCAGAAATGGCTTCAGAGCATTTCTGTATAAGGGAAATCTTGAAAAATGTTAGCGTCAAAACTATTAAAAGAGGACGTTTGTCGTGTGTGCTCATGCCCAAATGACAAAAGTAAATAAATAATCCTATTTGGACACATGGTGGCCTTAGCAACCCAAGACCGAGTTCCATTTGCAAAATCAGTCACCTTTAAAAAAAAAAAAAAAAAGTAATTCTTTTGCCGTAAAGGTCCACAGCTCTCTGTGGCTCATGGAGCATCGACGAAATGTCAAGAGACTGTCTTGAGAGTAGTGGTTCTTTATGTGTGTGTGTGTGTGTGTGTGTGTGTGTGTTTTAGCGCACACTGCCTTTGCCTACTTTTCACATGCACAATAAAGCCAAGCCGCGAGTGGACTTATTGTTCCAGCGCGCTCGAAAAGCCAACTTGATCTTTTCCCCCCACTTCAGTTTTCATGTCGGCCTTCCCGGAAAGCGGTGACAAGTTTCCTTCCCCCTTTCCATTTTCCGCACTCGTCGCATGCGACACTTTCACGCATCGCACCGTTTGTGTGACATCACAACATGGCGTGATAACTTCGTATGCGTGTTGCTTTGAATCGAGTTTTCCTGAGTCCCGATTTGTCGGCTACTGGTCTTGCTGGGATTTAAAAATGTGAATGGTGAACGGTCGCAATTTGGCAGATGTAACAGCCAATCCAAATGAACTTTCTGAATTTAAGAAAAAAAACCCCATCAACAACTTCTGAAAATATCAACGCACGTTCTATTATTCTTACTCTGTTTCCCTTTTTTGACAATCGCACCATGTTTTTGCGGTTCAACCAAACTAATACAGTACAGGATCTTGTATGTGGCGTGTTTTCTGACAATGTTTTTTTCGGCCTTTTTTGTGGCTCGTGATAGGCATGCTTGCAACATTTTCTATTGCCTGCTTCAGACTGTTTGAACATTATGGCCTGTGATGACGATGACAGACTGATGACAGGCGTGCAGGGTAAAAAGAAAAAAAAAAACGGAGGCAGTTTTTCTGCGATGAAAGGCCGGCGGACATTTCCAGGCGGTTGCGTCACGTTGTTTGTCTTTTCTCACGCTCACTTGGTGGGGTGCTTTATCGATCCGCAGTCTTAATGACCCGGCATGCGCCTAATGAGCATTGTGCCTCGCAGCCTCTTGCATTATGCATCCCACCTAAATCACACTTCCTGTTTTGCAAGCCGATGTGACCATTTGGAAATGGTCGCCATGGATACGGCCGATGAGGCCGTCTGCCGTCTCTCGCGAGCAGTGCTGTGAGGGTTTTATTTTTTTTGGCGTGGACGATGAGTTAGCATCGCTGGCATCTGGTCGGGAGAGGCCCAGGTGAGCGGGTGAGAGGAAGGCGGTGTTGACGTGGGAGGTTTCGTCAGTGCTCGGAAGCACTTGTGGATTCTTCAGCAGGTCGACACTCGCTCAGCCACACGTTGACGAGAGCTGAAGTCGTCGCTTTCTTAGCAGCGCATGACACTGGGCATAGGATATGCTTACTTGTCCATACAGAAAGTCTATGATGTCATCACGTGATTTTCGTAGTTAATCTGGTTAAAAACAAATAGTACGAAAACCAAAGTGATCTATCCAATAGGAAACAATGTAAAGGGAATTAATTTGTTTTAGACACCTCAAAATATTTACAAAGATACAGTTTAGAGAGAGGAACTACAGTTTAATAAACAAAAGTCTCAAACTGGCAAACTGGGGGAAAGCGAGGGTGGATGGAAAGGCTATCAGGGCACCCCAAACATGT